ACTGGTAGTATATAATTTTAAACTTTTTTATGGTCCTTTTGAACATATTGTTCCAGTTGAAACTGATGCTTTATAGAACTTTATATGACTCTTTAATTTACTCTTCAGTGCTTTAGAATAGTTTATAAGGTAACAGACCTTTTTTTCTTTTTAACTCAAAGACATATTTTTTACTCAGTCATGCATATCAGCATTTTTTTATTATTAGATTACATTATACATTTGTAATTTTATTTCTATTTCACTTATCATTATTATGTGTATGTATGATACGTGTTGAGGGGGCCCATGTGCCATGGTACACATGTGGAGGTCTGAGAACAACTATAAAGTTGGTTTTCTCCTTCTGCCTTTACATGGGTTCCAGGATTCAAATTCAAGTTTCAGGCTTGTATGGCAAGCAGTTTACCTGTTAGCCCATTTTTTTTATTTATTAAAAGCAATTTCTGATCATTATAGACTTGGAATACTAATAGTACAAAGAAGAAAATAAAGTAATCTAGAAAACAGTTATCTTAGACATAATGATTATTCATTTTGTATTTAATTTTGTGTTTATTTCTTTTTTGGTTTTTCAAGACAGGGTTTCTCTGTATAGCTTTGGAGCCTGTCCTGGAATTCACTCTGTAGCCCAGGCTGGCCTCGAACTCACAGAGATCTGCCTGCCTCTGCCTCCCGAGTTCTGGGATTAAAGGCGTGCACTACCACCGCCTGGCCTTCATCTGTTTTTTAAAAGTATTATTTATTTTATATATATGAATGTTTTCCCTATGTGTATGTTTGTGTACCATGTACATGCATGCCTAGTGCCTGAGGAGTTCTAAAGGTGTCAGACTATTGGAACTAGAGTTATGGATGGTTGTGAGGTACCATGTGGATGCTGGGACCTCTGCAAACAAGTCCCCATCCTTTATCTTTTTTTAATCATTATTTTTTGCTTACTTCTTTTTATGCATTTAGAATCACAATTCATATGAAATTTTATTTATCTAAATTTTTATTCATTTATTCATTTTGTGTATATGTGTGAGTGCTGGCACTTGCATGTCACAGCACACCGTGGAAGTCAGAGTTCACCTTCAACCTTGTTGAGGCTGTTCTCTTCTGTTGTATAGGTGTCCTCCAGGCTAGTTGACCTTTGAGCTTCTGGTAGATTTTTCTATTACCGCTTTCCATCCTATGATAGGATGGGATTATGGATGTGTGCCACCCCCCTCTTTTTACATGAGTTCTAGGGATTGAACTCAAATTGTCAGGCTTGTGTGCCAAATACTTTTACCTGCTGCAAGCCATCTCCCTGGCCCCATGATTTTATATTATTGTTTTTCATTAAATGAGCACTACTTTCTCATGTCATTAAATACTACTTTTTTCTCATGTCATTAAATAGTGTCAAAATGTTATTCTTAACGTCTTCAATATAGTCTGTTGTAACATAGTATCTTAATTTCAGCATTTAATTCCTATTCTTTGTTAGTCATAAATATTATTATGACAAACATTTAGTATGTAAATATTCCAGCACCCATGTTGGGTGGCTTATAACTGTCCATTCCTCTACCTGCAGTGGGATCTAACACCTCTGGTCTCTGAGGACACCTGTACTAACATGCAAATACACACACACACACACACACACACACACACACTATTATAAAAATTTAATTCTTTAAACATTGGCTTTAAATTTTTTTTTTTTTTTTTTTTTACTAACTTGTGTAATTGAGTATGGATGTCCATGGTGTGCATATGGTGGTCAGAGGACAACTTTCAGGAGTTGATTCTTTCCATCTACCTTTGGGTTTTAGGGATTGAGTTAAGATTAAGTACTTCTACTTGCTGGACCATCTCACTGGCCCTAAACCTTGATTTTTCTTAATTAGTCTTCAGCATTCAGGTGAGTTTCACTTTTAGGCAAATCCTAATTGTATCATTTATGCATTTTGGTTGCTCTGAGTACGTGAGCCTTTTTCCCTGTAGACCTGGGCATCTAAGGACAGCCTTTTAATGCATCTTTGTTTTCTTGTCTTAAGCATCTCACTTACTCTTGGTAGTATCTCTCAGTTTGTATATTCCTCTCATCATTTATCGTTTAGTCCTATAAAGTTCTTACATTTCATCCTAAAAAATAGATCAGGAAGGAGACAATACGCTGTGAGTGTCATGCCTAGACACATGATCTGCTTGTCAAGCGGTAGAATTACAGATGAGCTGTGAGTTAAGTTCACATTGAGTGGCAGCAGCATCATTCAAGATTTCACTTTTTGTCTCCATCTGTTCATACTATAGAAATGTGTTGTTTTTTGTTTGTCATATAGAAATAACCAAAAGCATTCTTTGCGTGTCACAACTGATGTAGCAGATGGAGAATGAAGGAAGAATTAAAAAGGTGTGAGTGGAAATTTTTAAATGGGGAGAGAGATTATTATTCTTAAATATTTAAATTTTCTTGGATGCAAAAATGATGGAAATGACAAGGGACCTGAGAATAGGAGATGATTTAAGAATAACTAGGCATTTAAAGAAAGACTTCTTCCTCCCATTGTGATCTCTGTTTGGTAAAAATGGTAAAACAAAGGCTTACAAATTGGGACAGAAGCAGGAAATCCTATTAGTGGCTGCCAGTTTAACATTCAAGACCAAAGAAAAGCTTACTTCTGTTAGATTTTAATGCTTTTTCTCCCAAAGTCTTTCTTTTTCTTTTTTAGCAAGGCACAATTTTGTTTTTATACAATTCTTAATAAAGATTCCAAATTATAATCATCCTCATTTTTTGAAGGTTTGAAATTTGTGGCTTGATGAAAATTGTTTCAGAATTTATGTAATCACTTTCTACTCCTTACCAGAAAGAACCTTTTCCTTCTAATAATCAATAAAAGAGAAAATTTGGCTCCAAGTACCAGAATCAATATAAAAGTAAGGACTTCTGCCTAATTCTTTTGTCCACTTCTACCTTGATAGAAGTAGACACAAGGAACCTTTCAAGCCAAGTTCTGATCTGTGGTTGTGTTAGGAAAACAAGCTCTGGAGGTAGGAGTGAAATTATCTACAGCACAGCAGTTAGGGATTCCCATATAGCAATGATTTGCTTTCCAAAGATGATCTGCGTTTTCAGCCATAATGACCATAGTTTTTATATTTATTTGCTTTTATTTACTTATTTTTTGATAATGTGTTATTGTTCTAGAAAGTACTAAAAAATAAATTATTTTTGTTTTTTAAATGTGTTTAAAACAAACCAACCAACCAGAAAACCTTGTTGTCCTGGGGCTATGTGAGGAAGAATGAAGCTCTCATTTCCCAGTACCCAATCATCGGCTTGAGCTGGCCTCTCCTAGGAGCAGAATTTATTGAAGCAATTTATCCTGGCTAAATGTGATATAAATCTGTGTATACGTATGTACATACAGAGTCTATTCCATTACAGCAGGACTGAAGCATCAGTTTCCTTCATAGTTAGACCATGTTCCTATCACATTGAAAGATGACCAAGCAGCCCCTTCTATTTTATGAGGCACCTCACACTTTTAAACACCGATTAGTTGTGGAATTACTGATTAGACAACCAGAAATACTGGTTTCTAACCCAAAAGTAATTCCTAAGAGAATAGGAAAGATATTACCTTATTGCCCTCTATTTTAAGCCTGGTTTTCTGTTACTAGATTCATTCTAGCATGTTAGCATTTTATTTTAATGCAGGCCTGACTGAGATTGACCTGACATTTTGGTTTATCTCCAGTATGAAATTTGAGATTTGGTTACAGTTCTGAAGTTATTTCCAGATGTAGTTCAACAATCATCCCTCACTGATCTTCCCTTGTCCACATTCTTTTATGTATTGTTCTGTGTTGTGTGAAATGTCCTTAGAACCTTGTTCTATAAGACTACTTTTATCCTTCCTCTCACTTTTCTCTTTGACCCTTCCAAAGTATTGTTTATATATTTTGGGATATTTTTACTGTGATTTGCATTTCTAGTCATTATTCATCTCTGCCTGGTTTTTATTCTTAGTTGGAATATGAGAAATTTCCCCGACGCATTCAGATTGCATTTGTTGTTTGACAAAGAATTTTGATAGACAGTTCAAGAGATTAGCTTTAGTCGTTTAAAAAAACAGTATAAATTCTGTTAAATTCTTCAGAGAAATAGAGGGGATGGATGGTGGTGCATTTCTTTTATCCCCTGCAGCAACACACATCTGTTGGCTGCAACAGAGCAGCCCAAGAACTCTGGCTGAGAGCAGCACAAACAGCCGGAACATATTCACCCAGTAAACCCCCAAAGAGTCGACATTTGTTTTATTGCTGCTTTTAAAAACCTAGCCATAAATAGAATCAGAGGGGGGAAGGGCACTGATATTTCTTCATTTGCCACAGACGATTGGTGGTGGGGGAGGAAGAGGAGGCTCCCAGTGGGGAGGGGAAGTTTTTATTTTTATTTTTTTATTAATGAAAATAATTTCCCATGTAGTCCAATAGGATGGGTGCTTTGTTTTCTTTGGCAATAATCTGGGATAAACGACCCTTGCCAACAGTCTCATAGTTTATACACCAGGGAGCCAGATTATAGCCCTGTAAAATGGAGCACCCCTCCTATAATCCCTTAATTAATTAAATGACAAATTTTGGTCTTCTCTAGTTCAGAAATATGGCTTCCGCATCGAGCGTTCAGTGAATTTATTGACACAGAGAGCCGCACTGGTTGTAATTCAGTATACTGGAGAAATGTGTTATATACTGTAACAGAAAGAGGGAAAACCCAGCAAAGGCTTAAAATTCCTGGACTATTTGAGTCTGAATTTTCCTAATTAAAAGTTTCAATTGAGGCACAGTAGATCATATGCCACCTGTCTAATGATTCTCCCCAAAGTAGCCTGTGTTTACAGCTTTGATAGATGGCATTCTTGGAACACCTGTTTCTAGGCTTGATATTTTTGAAGCCCATTTTTTTTCTCCAGCGTATTTAACATAACTTTTCCCCTACTCCTTCCCCCGCTCAGCTCTGCTCTGCTTTATGAAATATGGGAGACGACAGACCGTTTGTGTGCAATGCCCCGGGCTGTGGACAGGTACGTTTACAATATACTTTATTGTGAATGTCTTGTTGTGAATCAAAGTGGCTGTTTTATCACTAAGGCAAAGAGTTTAAAGCTGGTATTTTACGTGATCACTGGAGGTAATCAGATCAGAGGATTTGCAGTGTGTAAATCCAAGTTATGAGGAAGTGTAGGCACTCCACCGTAATGAAATCTGCCTTGCTTTCTTCCATCTTGTTATTCTACTGATGTTTGTTTTCCAACACACAGTGTTAAAGAATATGTGTTACTTGCTCTTCCTTTCTAAAGCTATCCATCTAAACACAAAGCAGGTTTAAAAATATCTTCTTCTTGACCTTCAGGTATATAAAAGTCTGCTTAACATATTTAGACAGTCAGCTAAGGTTTCCATTTATTGTAAGCCTCCAATTCCTGAGTCTCTGTGGATTTCTCAAATAGGAAACAGAAATGTTTCTTTTGATTGCTGATCAGAAAAGTCAAGTTAACAGCTAAGGCGGCAGGTGTCAGTCCATCAGGAACAGACAAACCCACCATAGACTGGAGCCTCACCCAGTGTCCTCACACGTGTCCCTGTCTGACACCATCACGTGTGTGGTTCTGTAGGTCGGCTCCCACCTGATGGTTTGTGTGTGTGTGCCTCCTCTGTCAGGTGTGTTTCCTACACTTCCTATAAAATAATTCTGTTGAAATTGCCTTGTTTCTCATTTTGTATATTAACTTTTTCCCCTAGATCTTTTTCTAATGCTTCTACAAATGATGAAAAAATGGATAAAAGTTTTACTTGCCTTCGTTTTGTAGAATCTCTACTATATTCAGTTAGAAATATGTCATGTAACTGTCCAGTGACACTTACTGGTGGTATATGAGATCACAGACCGGTTTCATTACACATTGCAAATACTTTAAAAAAAAAAAAAGAGAGCTAAGTCCTAAGCATTTCTAAGAATTGGGATTTGAAAGGTAGATGAGATGATGATGTGACAAGACATAGAAAGAAGATTCCAGATTTCATAAGAGGCTGAAATGTTCTGGTAAGATACTTAAACCAAACCATTGTGTTGTACAGTATTAAGCGTCCTAGAGTGTATTTTCTTCCTTTTTTACAATTTTTAAAAATGTGTAGGTGTGCTTCTATTTTCAAATAGCATTATTAAGGTAGAAAATGTAAAATGATCCCTCTAAATTTATGTGTGGGAATTTAATAATGCTGTTTGCTGTGACTCCTGCAGCTGATACATAGTAATCCCCTGTACTATTTGAAAAATCTGAATTTTTGGGTGAGTTTATTTTCCTCATATGTGACCTTTTTTTTTTTTTTAAAGACAAAATCTCACTGTGTAGCCCCGGCTGCCCTGGAACTCTCTATGTAGACCAGGGCGGCCTCAAATTCACAAAGATCTACGTTAAAGGTTTGTGCCACCATTCCTGGCCAGCCCAGGCTACATGAGACCTTGCCTCACAAACAAAAAAAAATTTTTTGTGATCCAGACATGAGGGTACACACTTTTAATAACAGCACTCAGAGGCAGAGAAAAAAGTGATCTTTTAAGGGTGAGGCCAAAATGGTTGAAAGGATAAAAGTATTTGCTGAACAAACCTGACAATCTAAATTTATATCGGATCCCGTGGGGAAGGGTGAAAAGAAAGAGTGGAGTCTTGAAATTATCCTCTGACCTCCACATGTGCACTCTGGCATGTGTACACCTGCACTTACACACACACACACTACTAATAAATAAAAATAAAAAATTTAAAAAGCTTTAAAATGCCTGGTGTCATGGCTCATTCCTTTATTCCCAATACTTGTGAGGCTGAGGCAGGCAGATCTCTGAGTTCGAGGCCAGCCTGGTCTACAGAGTGAGTTCCAAGACAACCAGAGTTACACAGAGAAACCCTATATCAAAAAAAAAAAAAAAAGGAAAATAGTAAGGACTTTTTACTTTGGCTTCTCTGTTTTGTTGGGCTTTGCTTGTGAGCCTTTTCCCACATTTACAAATTGTGTGTCGATATTTATGATTCACTGTAAAGTCTTTAGATTTGGATAGCTTTTCCCCCTAGTGGGAAGTTGGATATGGAGTTTGGAACTTGAGGACATCATCACTTCTTTAATAAATAGGTTAGAAAGCTCCATCCTAAGAGTTTGGTGGCGATGTGACTCATCCCTTTACCCCCTTTGCATATCAGAAACTGTTCATTCAAGTAAGATTATAGTTCTCCACTTATAGTTAGTCCTTTCTTCATATTTCTTCTGAGATCTGGTAACAAATAGCTCCAGAATAAGATTTCAGCAGATGCATGTGATCACCTCATGCTATGTGAAATAGAGAGAGTGTGGCAAAAGATGCAAATTTGGTAAAGCAAACTACCATTTGGCATGCCATTGAACTTCCTTAAATCTTTTTTTTTTTTTTCAAAGATTTATTTATTATGTATACAGCATGTATGCCTGCAGGCCAGAAGAGGGCACCAGATCTCGTTACAGATGGTTGTGGGCCACCATGTGGTTGCTGGGAATTGAACTCAGGACCTCTGGAAGAGCAGTCAGTGCTCTTAACCTCTGAGCTATCTCTCCAGCCCGAACTTCCTTAAATCTTGAGAACAGTTTCATTTTGGAACTCCCCACAGGACTTTAAGTTACTTGTAATCTACTTGTTATTAACTCAAATTATTTATTCCAAGTGTAGTAGAAACAAAAAGTCTATGTAAATCCCAGGAAGAAACTGTGATAATCTTAGAGAAGTCTCAAAAACAGTAGTAAGGAGAAAGAGTTGGCTCAGAAGTTAAGAGCACTGTTGATCTTGCAGAGGACCCAGGTTTGATTCTGAGCATCTATATGGCCGCTCACAAACACGTGTAACTCCAATTCCAGGGGATCCAACACCCTCTTCTGACCTTCATGGAAACTGCATGTACACAGAGCACAGGCAACAAAGAAACAAACAAACGAAAACCTTTTTTATTGTGGGGTTGGAGGTTTAGCTCAATAGAGGTAAATGTGCACGAATTTGTGCAAGGCTCTAGGTTCAGTCCAGCTCTGGGGAAAAAAAGCAAAGAGAACTAAAGGAGTTCTACTTTGTTTCTGTATCTGTTCCTTTTGCAGACTGTACCATATACATCTTTAAACTCAGAAATCACCATGTAGTTTAATATTAAGGGAAGGTGAAAGGAAAATTTACCTAAAATAGACTAGTAGATTATACCCTCCACTATATAATCAAAACCACCAGCCTCTCAATGGATCCATAAACATGTTTTGGTTGCTAGGTTTTTAATGGCTGTTATTTTTGGATTGTGTTCATGATCTACTTCCCAACAGTCTGATGTGACACAGCTGAATTCTAAATACACTACATGTACTTAAAAAAAAAATGGCTACTGAAGATTGTGCTGTCTGCATTCCTGTGTAAAAAGACAGATGATAAGATTTTTAGTCCCCTTATTCCTATTGGCCTATTGAGACTGTTTCTTCTGAGGCCTCATCACCCTCATGAAGAACTTGGGGAAAACAATATTCTTGCTAAAACCTCTCTATGGAATGTGGTGCAAGCAGTCATTAATAGAACTGAGCTGCCTCCTGAGAATGGGTTAGTGTTGTTAAGGCAACAATCCCCCAGATACCCCTTTGACAGAGGCCTAGTTGAATGGAGTTGTGTGGGCTTTTGAAGCAATTATGAGGTAGCATCTATTTAAGAGCTCTGTGCACTTAAACATACCTGTAATCCCAGCCATTATTACACTAAGGAAAGAGGATCACAAGTTCAAGGACAACCTAAGCAACTTTCTGAGAACCTGTCTCAAAAACTAAAAGCCCTCAGATGATGTAGCTCTGTATCGGAGTGCTTGCCTTGTGTTTTGTTTGTTTGTTTTTGCTTTGTTTTTTTTTTTTTTTCTGGTTTTTCGAGACAGGGTTTCTCTGTGTAGTTTTGGTGCCTGTCCTGGATCTCACTCTGTAGACCAGGCTTGAACTCACAGAGATCCACCTGGCTCTGCCTCCCGAGTGCTGGGATTAAAGGTGTGCGCCACCGCTGCTTGGCCGCCTAGTGTTCTTGAGGCTCTAGTTTAGGGGTTGGAGAAATGGTTCAGGAGTTAAGAGCATGTACTTCTCTTGCAGAGGACCTGAGTTTGGTTCCCAGCACCCACATGGTGGCTCACAAGCACTTATAAGTCCAACTCTAGGGAATCTAACATATTCATATACATATATATGCATGTAAATTAAATTAAATTAAATTTTGTTTGTTTGTTTGTTTTGAGACAGGGTTTCTTTCTCTGTGTAACCCTGGCTGTCCTGGAACTCACTCTGTAGATCAGGCCGGCCTCGAACTCAAAGATCCACTTGCCTCTGCCTCCTGAGTTCTGAGATTAAAGGCATGTGTCACCACTGCCTGACTAAATCTTAAAAAAATATGAAAAAAAAATGAGACCCTGGTTCAATCCCCGACACAGAAAAAAAGAAAAGAAACTTCTGTTTAAAAACACTCTAATTAGCCAGGTGGTATTGGTGCATGCCTTTAATCCCAGCACTTGGGAGGTAGAGCCAGGAACATCTCTGTGAGTTTGAGGCCAGCCTGGTCTACAGAATGAAATACAGGACAGACACCAAAACTTTACAGAGAAACCCTGTCTCAAAAACAAACAAACAAACAAAAATGTGGGTCTTCATTATATTGCCCAGGCTAATCTAAAACTTCTGGGCTCAAGTGATCATCTTGCCTCGGCCTCCCAAGTAGCTGGGAGTACATTTATATACCATCTTATCCTGCTTATTTCCTGTAAGTTTTTAATATTTTGGGGTGCTACTTTTACTTCAAAGTCTATAATAAATCCCATAGAATGGAAGCAACTATTCATACTAGGTCATTGTCAGAAATCCTGAATTTGAGATGTTATTTCATGTGTGAATAGATAACTTACTTTGGGTTGCTTCTGCCCATTTTGGTGTGTGTGTGTGTGTGTGTGTGTGTGTGTGTAAGTTGTGTATATATATGTGTGTGTGCTTGCATGTGTGTATA